CATTGTTTATTTATAAGTTCAGCGCTGGAGTTACTATTAACCCTGATGGAGAGTGCTCTCCCCATTTCCCTGGACCATCATGAGTCAATAAAAATGTGATCTGTCAGTGCCTGAAAAGTACAGGATGGTAGGACTGTAAGAGTGTTTCAGTTTGGAGAGAGCTTTGACTGGTCTAATGGATTTTGTGTGTCTGTGTGTGTGATCTCCTGACATTCTGACATTTAATTCTGAAAATTAATTTACTTTGTTCTGAAATACTTGTATTTGGGAACTTATCTTCCTGATGTAGATACCTAATATGTCAAATCTTAATCAGTGGTATTAACACAGTTGCAGACTGTGTCCTGTGTACAGTGCTTTGCCTTCTGCTGAAACAGCGGTGGCTTCTCATGTTGTAGTAAATGAGCTTGTAACTGCTCGGTGTACTGAGGCTGTGTTGTCTGTTTCTCTTAGGAATTTTTTAAACTGAAAAAGCCAACCACAGACTCAAAAACAAAAAAACACCACGATAGTCTTATGATGCGATGCAAATGTGACACATTGGTGTATTTCCTCAAAAATGCTTTTCAAATCTATTGAGAAACTTACTGCTCTTATGATTTCCCCAAAATCCCTGGATTACATAAAATTGTAATCCACTGGGAGTGGAGGAGGCGAACATAGGCCTATGTTTTTTCGGGTCTCTGGATTTGTCCTCAACATACTTAGTTCTGCTCTAGTTTTAATTATTTTATATGATGTTGTAAATTACTTTCTGGTAGCTTTGGCGAGCACGGCTTGTGTTTGATCTGTGTTTCCCTTTTGGCCTCGAGCACAAGCGATAACACAGCTGCGTGATAATACCGAAGCTACTTGTGGCTATTGCGAGTCCAGAAAAGCTCTCATTCTGTGAGGATGACCCATGCTGGCTGTGCTGAGGTGAATTAACGTAGCGTAATGCATTGCTGGCCGGCTAGCTGTGCTACTTTATCACAACCAGCAGGAAACAGGAAGGGAGCAGCCAGCTGCAAGGTCAGAGGTCACTCTATAGTATGAGGGGGATGGAGGACAAAAACCTAGTGTTCAAAAAAAGGTTTGGCCTTTGACTGTGGTTAAGAATGACAGTGTAACTACAGGAAAAACAGAGCACTATAGAAGTATATGACAGTCTATATCAGCATGCTATTTTGTATGATTGTAGCACACTTACTCTTCATCGTCGCTGCTGGCACAGCACTTCAAATAGCAGTGACTGTTGTAAAGCTGGCTATTGAAGTATTGGCTACTGCCAAGTGTACACAAAGTACAGAGATGCTGTTTTAGGGTGAGATGGGCTGAGAGATACTAAATCAGTTTATAGTTTAAATTAACTTGTATCTTAGCTTTGAATATTAATATTCACTCAGCTAATTTTAGTGGTTCCTCAACATTACAGACAAAAATATACAATGTTTTATTCTCAGTGCTAATATTGTGCCATAGACAGCTGTGAAACTGTGATGCTAGTAGGACCAATGTTAACTTTCAGACTCCTTCTCTAGTTGTGAGTCACACTGAATTGAGTCACTGCACACTGTACCTTTTACTTACAAAACACAAGATTGATGGATAGCAAACTGCTAATGCAGGTTGCTTTAACTGAAATCGATCTCGATCTAAAGCCTAGCAGCACCAAACATCATCGCAAACTCAGCAAGTAAGAGCGCAGTCCCATTTTTGACTGAGCTAGTTACATAGTTCCACTTCCTGTATAAAGCTTCTGGTGCTTTTGTAGTTTAGGCAACTTAATTAACTTGCCTCAGCAGCTTCTTCTGCATGTTGATCTGTTTTTATTAGTTTCTTGATTTTTAAAGCCAAAAGCATCTTTAGCAGTCAGCTTCGACATCCAGATTTCTCACAAGAGTTAAATGGTAAAATGGCCTGCATTTGTATAGCGCTTTACTAGTCCCTAAGGACCCCAAAGTGCTTTACACATTCAGTCATCCACCCATTCACACACACATTCACACACTGGAAAGTAAGACTGAACCAAAAAAGACACTTTTTTTCCCCAAAGACTTGATGCATAGTGCATGTTTTTGCTTTACCTTCTGTCTGAACTTATCCTTAGATCACAGTGGGATTAGCTGAACCTGGTAGGATTTGTTACTTTTTCTCAGTCTCACAAGTTGGCCACAAAAACTTTTCAGTTTATTCCCCTTCAGTGCACATGAAATTCACCTCAAACTTTGAATCTGTTAAGATCCAAATTTCAATGCTCATAGTGCCTATATAAATGTGTCCACCCCAAGTGGTTATATTCAAATGTATTATTACATTTGGTGAATTAGAATTTAAATTAAATGGTGGGGTTGAAGAGATGGTTTTATAAGCTCAAACACTTAGGTAGTCTCCATGAATGTTTTAAGTTCAGAGATGAAGGGAGTGGATGAGTAGATGAATAAGATGGCAAAGTAACCCTCATGAAAATGAAATGAAAGCTGTGAGTCAGGAGAGAGCAATTCCACACAAACTTGAGAGAGGTGAAGACTGTCTTTATGATTATGTTGTAGGTAAAAGAAAAGCAGGAGGGGGCTGTTGTAACTTAGATCTAAGTACAGAGTAGAGAGAGCTTGACAGAAGAAAGGATAAGGCAGCAGCTTTAAGGCTCAGCAGGCCAGTACAGCCAGGAAGCAAAGTAACTGAGGGCGACCTCCTGCTGAGATGATAGCTGCTGAAGAAAGCACACAGAAATACAGTGTCACAAACATCTGTCTTTCCTGAGATGATGCTGGAAAGGGAAGATGCTCTTAAATAGAGCTACATGAGCTCCTAAGGGAAATCCTGGGAGTAGTTGGTCTCATTTGTCACATTTCATCACTGAAGAGGCTAGCCTGGACTTCAAAGACAACAGCAGTCATTGCATCTAGCTTCAAGTCTTTGCTGTAGATTTTAAGTGGGCAGAGCATTTAAAAAGATTAGACATCAGGACTACAAGAGTGATTACTGTTATCATTTACTACCGCGAGGGTGTAAGTGTAAAACACTTGTGCAAGCCTTGCATCATTCCCCCCAGATTCTTGTATACCCCTCCGTGGTAAACTGTCTTCTTAACAAGTACTACTCTATTTTGGCAGGATGTCAATATACACTAATCTTATTCATCCATCTCTGGTCACTGTCCTGCTTCCTCATTCACTCTTTCCACTCCCTCCTTTTCCACTCATAGGGCGTGTGCTATAGTGTGGGGCAGCTGCAGTGTAGCCGCGCTTTCATTGCTGTCTCTCTCGTGCATGTCAATTCACCCTGCCCAACAGCCAAGCACAATCTCCCTCTGTGCCGCCTCGTAAATCACCGCTTTCTCAGCTTAACGCTTATAGTGCTGTGATGTGGTGCACGGGCATGGTGATAATGTTCAAATTCATTCTCTTATTTCCCAGTCAAGTATTTTCTCATCTTCATGTCATTTTCTTGTTTGGCCTCATGCTCTTCAGTTATTTCCTCCTTTCTTGTTGACCAACTGAAGTCACACCTATGTACTACGATGTCCTAACCTTCACATCGTAGCCACTCTAAAGATGCATGCATGCATGCATGCATGTACTTGTGAAATGCATGCAAGAACCTGAAGCTATTTCTAGATCATAGAACCAGCTAAGAAAGAAGAAGGAAAGAAAGAAAATGTACTTTATTGATCCCCGTGGGGAAATTCCTCTCTGCATTTAACCCATTCACTCAGTGAAGCAGTGGGCAGCCATTGGGCGCCCGGGGAGCAGTGTGTAGGGACGGTACCTTGCTCAGGGGTACCTCAGGGGTACCTCAGGGTAGCTGTTCAGGGGAATCAAACCCCGACCTTCCGCTCATGGAGCCACCACTGTACCTACTGAGCTATCCCTGCCCCTAAGGAGAGAATGCCCCTAGGGACATTCTCTGTCCTTCTCTGTCATGAGAATGCCCCTAAGGACATTCTCTGGACATTCTTGTCCTTAGCTGATTTGCTATTTATTTGTTATTTAAACCTGGAAGCCCGTTCTTTTAACTACCATCCATGTTTCGGCAGATTTGAGGAGCAAGACTCTGTTATCTCTATGGTAGCCTGCACTTCGCATTCAAATCTCAAATTCCTTTGAGGTCCATGATGGTATCCCCCCTTTTCACTAAAATAGATTGACTACTTTTTATCCTATTTCATCTGTTTGTCAGCCTGTTATTCAAAGTCATACACAAAGGGAAAGAATAAGGGTTTCATGTTTTACCAGACTCATCATTTCCATTGTATATTCTGATGTATTTGTTATATACATTTTGCAGTGACATGAGGGGAAGGGTAGGCTTATTTATCAGCCAATTAACAGTTTGTAAGTCACTGAATCCTATTGCCACTTCAACTCCATTTGGAGGAAAAAAAGAACAGAAAGTCACATTCCATGTGACACTGTATGTTTGGGTGTGTGTGTAATATGCTTTGGGTTGTTTTTGAACACTTGACAGTATCCACATCACATCACTGCATTTCTTTTTTGCATTGACACAGATGGCTGAGCAAGCAAGAATGCTAAATAGGTTATTATTTTTGGTGGACTCAGGAAACTGCATGTTTGATGTGCATTTGAATATTTACTATTTCTGTTTCAGTGTTTTCACCAGTATTTTATCCACAAGTAAAACTGTACTTGAATACACTCATGTTAGCTGAAAACATTGTTTTCTCACTGTGTATAGCTTGTGACACTAAGTTCTGCTTATTTGCCGTAAACTACTGTGTGTGACACGTTAAAACTATAGTTGACACTGAGGTTGTGTATTTGGTGTTTCACTTTTGAATTTCAAAGAATCAGATTTTGTTTTCTGGAAATTCCAACCTTGGTAAATAATACACACGATATAATCTGAATAAAATCTAGCTATGATGCTAATAAGTTACTAATGTTACTCAGCATTTCTCTCTTGAGGCCTTTGCACGGTCTGGTGAACATCTAACAGCAATTCACTGTTTAACATGTTAAATCTGACAGTCTTCCCTCTTTTCCTGACTTCCACAGGAGGAATCTTACCAAGCTGTCTTTGATCTTCAGCCACATGCTGGCTGAGCTGAAGGCCATCTTCCCCAATGGTCTGTTTCAGGGTGACAACTTCCGCATCACTAAGGCAGATGCTGCAGAGTTTTGGAGACGCGCCTTCGGGGATAAGTAAGCACATTTGTGTGTGTATTATCATAGTGGTTCCTGGAAACTTAAAGAGTCACTTTTAAATTGTAAAAAGGAAATTCAATAGTGCAAATCAGTAAGAAGATATATGGTAATGCGAAAAGAGAATCTGTAGTTCTGTGAAAAACTAAGTGCTCCTTTCCACAGGAGTTGAGAGGATAAATAGCAGCCATTCAAATGAACTAGATTTACTGATTATCAGCAACTTTTAATAAGCTCTACAAAAGCAAAGGTTTCAGCTATTTGCTGGTCTGGATGGTTCAGGTTTGTGTTAACAAAATGCCACAATCTCATCAGTACATCAGTGGACATCCCAGCAAATTCAGGAGAAAAAAAACTCAAACGACTAAAGAGCTCAATCTCAGACTCAATAGTCCGGCTGTCAAGCACGGTGATGGAGGGGTGATAATTTGGGCTTATTTTGCAGCTACAGGACCCGGATGCCTTGTAGTTACCGAGCTCACCACGAACTCATTTGTGTGTCAAAGTATTCTAGAGTCATATGTGAGGTTGCGCAGCAGGGTAATGATCACAACAAGCACAGCAGCAAATCAAGGTGTTGTAATGGCCCAGTCAAATTCAAGACATCAGGTTGATTGAAATGTTGTGGTGGGACCTTAAGAGAGCTGTTGATTCATAAATACCCACAAACCTCAGTGTTCTGAGGCAACGGAAAGAAGAGCAGGCCAATTCCTCTGCAACAATGTGAGAGAAAAAATAAGATTACTTCCAATTATTGGTGCTAAAGGTGGTTCTACAAGTTGTTCAATCATGGGGTGTTTTCCGCTTTTCACAGGATTACTGAGCACCGCTGAGGAAAAAGGTCTTTTTTTTCTCTCACATGACTCTGTGGAACATCTGAGAGGAAAAGGTTTTGCCTTCTTTCACAGAAATCAGACAATGAATATCTTCCCTGGGACAAATGTTGGTCCAGTGACTAAAGAACACTAATGTCTTTTTGTGGTTTATTCACATGCAACTATGGACACAACTAATGTTCTGTGCGCACATTTTGGTTAATCAGTCACTATATACACAGACAAGTCAGATACCAAGGGGATGTAACCATCCTAGGGAACAATCGTTAGTGTGTATGCGTAATTATTCCCTAAAAGAAAAGCGATTCATAAATATTGCAAAGTCCAGTATATTGAAAATGTTGGTCAAGGGACTGTGAAATTCATCTTATTTGCATGTTTCGTTGCTGTCTCTTTAAAAGTTCACATCAGGTTTATATTTATGTCCAGTACAAAGATGACTTGAATATAATAGCATTTCCTCTTTTATCAGATGTTAATCACTGTAGGTTTTACACACAGGCTATTCATGGTTGCATTTCGAGGTATGGGTTGCGTGTTAGATGCAGACATACCAACCATAACTTGTAAAATGCTCTTGTGAAATGCTACATGCATTTCACAAATTAAAACCAAAACTCTTATTGCACCTTTACCTTCATTGTGCAAGACAGCATGCTGGTAGCCTACATTTAAGAATTATTATTTATGAGCTTTGAGTTTTTGATGCTTTATTACACTTTTTTTTTTGAGGGGATGTCATCATCCAATGTGTGTTTTGTGTGTTACAGAACCATTGTGCCTTGGAAGGTATTCCGTCAGTCTCTCCATGAGTTTCATCCCATCAGCTCTGGGCTGGAAGCTATGGCCCTAAAGTCCACCATAGATCTAACCTGCAATGACTACATCTCCGTCTTTGAGTTTGACATATTCACCAGGCTATTTCAGGTAGATATCACACAGATGCACACTGCATCTTTCTCTTTGTTTTATAGTGGTCTCCTGAGCTAATGAAAGCAGAAATGTGCAAAGGAAGAGAGAGACAGAGAAGACCAAGATGGAGAGTAATTCCTAGGGGTTTGTTAGCCTTGGTCTAGGAAACAGATTTCATTTAAGCAGAACATAATGAACTTAAACTAATCAGCTGCATCTTTTTTTCCAGCTAACTCTATCAACTTATTAGCAGGATGTCTGTTGACGTATATACACCATCAGACAGCACTGACAATGAAAGTTTCCTCCTTCTCTGCCCAGCCAGTACACAAGGATATGTTCGGGAATTATTTTGCACTCTTTAATAGGCATCTGTTGTTGCATCATGTGGCCTAGATAAATCTGTTTGTGCTAGAGAGCGACACTGCGATCTTTCTCAAAGAGTCATTAAATGTGCTTCCCTGAGGTATTTTATTACTTCCAGAAAAGTAATAAGTAGCAAGGTTGAAAGTAGAAGAGTAGAAGTAGAATTTCTTTGACATGAAATCTTTGAGAGATTAAGAAATTAAACAGTTTTATTTTGCTATTATTTATTTTGCTATCCCCTAAATTAGTGTTTTATAGCTCATATTACTGGTTGTCTACTTGCATCGTGTGTCAGAGGTAAAGGGCTAAATGCAACCCACAATTTATATTTCACAATCATGAAGCAGCGCATTTGTTTCTGGGCCATTTTGTCATATACTTCTGGTGTGCAGGTGCTGCAAATTTCTCTAAGTATAGAATGAGGACCGATAAAAAGAAAAAAGCAAAGGATATTGGGAAGGGGAGCACAAAGGCTGCATTTATCTACCTTCTTCAGGGCTTATCTGTATTTTGTAGTACAAGTTCTTTGCATCAGTATTGCAATTAAAACTGTATCAAATGAGAACCACTGATCTCTCGAGTGAACCACAATTTCTTGTATGCAACAGCTAATGTTTATTCCTCAGTGACATCACCCCTACTTATGTGTATGTTACTGACAGGCTTAATGAAGCCTAAACAGATTACAGACATTTCCTATGGCACTCCCTCTTACAAAAACGTCCTCCTCTAAATGTCCTCAAACGCAGAAGAGGAAGTGAGCCTGTGGCCATTTTAAGCTCTGTCCTTGATATGCAGCAGACTGTTATTTTTTATTTATTTATTTTTTATATTGCTTTAAAAGCCCTCTCAGATATCTCATCTCTCTTCATGCAATATCTTTAGGCTGAATTCTGATTTGATTATAAATGGGCAGATATAAGAGAACATGCATTCTTAGGTGAAAACGGAGTGGTTTAGGATGAGCTGCCCTTCAAATGCCATTAAGATGTACCTGAAAAGTAATTGTACAGTTGCTGGATATAATCTTACTCATCAGACCTTATTGCACTTATTTAGTGCAGTCTGTTAGGAAAAAAAATACTAAAGCATACAACAGACATGTGATAAAATATATTCCAGAAAAGAGTCCAGAGGAGACAATTTTGACTTGTCACTTCCTGTGTTAAGTGCTGCTTACTGCAGAGCCAAATGGGCGGCGCTGGACCATGTCCAGCTCCCCCTCTCTGTGATTAAGGTTAGATTGAGGGTGGAGCTGGAGCTGGACTAGGCAACTGGCAATGTTAGGTTTTCATTTCATCAACTATTGTGATGCTGAAAGAGGACTGGATGGGTGTCCATTAACATGTTTGCATCTCCTCAATTTTGCAGCTCATGTTAAGTGTCATATGTGTTAATTCTGCTTCCTTTCACACATCAGACAGACTAACGATAGCAATTGCAGAACCACCTACTCACCACAGCATGCATTCAGTGAGTGTGCTGTGGAGTAGCATGATTTTTTTCTCTCTCCCTATTCTTCTTCATGTTAAATTTTTACTAGTTATTGTGAGCGTTTCTGGATGTGGGTCAGGTCGCCTTTAAAGAAAGAAACATGAGCTCCTATAAGCCAGGCTTTTCTCTCTCTCTTTTTTTTTTGAATGTACATTATGGAAAGCAGTCTACTAAAGTCTAGGAGTCTTCATTCTGTGATCCAGGTGGTGCCAAATGAGTTGCTTTGCTTAAAATACCTTTTTGCGCAGCTTGATCCCGGTCATTGTACATCACAATGAGGTTTGCCGAACAGTTGTTTAAACCTGATGCAATATATTTCACTTTTGCTGTGCTCACTCTGTTACTGCCATGTACATTCACACATCAGATGACTCACTTTCTCTCTCTGTGTGTGTGTGTGTGTGTGTGTGTGTGTGTGTAGCCTTGGTCATCCCTGCTGCGGAACTGGAACAGCTTGGCAGTTACTCACCCGGGGTACATGGCCTTCCTCACCTACGATGAGGTCAAAGCTCGGCTTCAAAAGTTCATTCACAAGCCTGGCAGGTGAGATATCATGATACCAGACATCCACACCAGACTATTCATCAACACTGAATGTCTAACATGGTTCATAAAGCATTAGCTATATCAGATAGATAGATAGATAGATAGATAGATAGATAGATAGATAGATAATTGTATAGGAACTTAATCGAGCATCACCATTTCTTTTTACCAGTACCACCTTGTGGTTGCTTGGTAACTTTACAGTCTACAGATCTACAGATTACAGTCTCTTGTAATCTGTAGATCTTTACTTGGACATATTGCACAATTTGGTGAAAAATGGCGTTGTGCTGGGTGCAAAAGCAGAATATGCAACACGGGGCCAAAACAAAAAACCTTGTTTTGCTATTCATGCAGCCCTACACAGAACGCATATTCACTGCACTGCACTGCACTGCACAGTGCAGTGCATACATAAAGCATAACTGCCCATTTCTAAATGCAGTTCATACCCAAAATGTTTCTACCATTACGGTGACCTTTCATTGCATGTATTTTTACAGTTTAGTTTTCTATCAGCATATATTTTAGCACTAAGCAACATGATTCTGTCCATTATTAGACACACATCTCACACATCAACTCACCACTCTGTGTCTATTGGCAACTGCATAGTTGCACCTAGGTCCTATTTTTGTCCCTGGTAGAGGACAGAGAGGGCACAGTTTTAACCTTAATGCCAGATTCACTCACAATTAATGCAAAAGTTTGTGTGTTCATGTGTTTTAGTTTGTGTGTGAGGAACCCAGGGCAGCATGGCACTGGTACCTTGCATCAATGGCCTGATTGTATGCTGAAAGCTGATGTCACTTTTCAGGCCTGGTCCATGTAGGGCCACGTTGACATTGGAGCAGTAGTTACTGGTTGATGTGAGTGCAGCGTTTTTGACGCTCTAAATTACTGTGTGCCATTAAGAGAATACTGTTGGTACTATGGGTACAACAGTTCTGTGCTAAACATCAAGGCTTTGACCAACACTTATTCTTGCCAATTTCTAATGAGCAAGCCTATTTATGCTGTCTCCTTTTTTTTTTCATTTCTGTATACAAATTGGTCAGCTTGTGCAGTTAACTAGAGAAGTGCATATTGCGGGGGGAGTGGTCCATCTCTTATCTCTTCAGTTTTGTTCTTGCCTTTCCACTGTCCATCCCACGGCACAAACGGCTATTTTTATCTGATCTAACATGCTGTGCATTCACCTCCAGCTCCACAGCAGTGTCATTCTTATGAACCAGTATTAGTCCAGTTGTGGTTGATGTTAGTTATTGATCTTTTAGTTGCGGTTGATTTTAGTTATTGATCTTTTAGTTGCGGTTGATGTTAGTTATTGATCTTTTATTCTGATAAGCAGTGATGGGTTTTGTGTCTCTGTCATTCCTACACTCAGTTCTGTCCCAGTTGTCTTCTTTAGCAACGTCGAATGGTAACTACGGCAATGGTGTAAACGCAGCTGCTTTAATGTTTCTATAATGTGTTATATACACGGAATGTAATGTGTGGATTGTGATGTGTATCCTATGATCTAGTATATATTTATGCATATATGTGTTCAGTATTGTAATGAAAATGCAAATTAGAAAAAAGTAGCTGATTTTGCCACATTCTGTTATGCATGTTTATTATGCAGCCTGCATATTTTCATTTGGATTGTGCTTACTTGAAGGTATTTCTTGTGCACATTTTGCAGCCACTGCTGCCCTTTTACTACATTTCATCTCATTGTATTTTATTACTTTTTTCAGAGTTAAATCTGACCATTTAACACCATTCGAGCTCTTCTTATTTACAATTTCCCTCTCTTCTCAGTTACATCTTCCGATTGAGCTGCACAAGACTGGGCCAGTGGGCTATTGGCTACGTGACTGCAGATGGAAATATACTCCAGACCATTCCCCATAATAAACCCCTCTTCCAGGCTCTCATTGATGGTTTCAGGGAAGGATTGTAAGTCAACTGGCATTTTGTGAGCCTCACTAAAATCATGTCATTTTCTTGCAGCTTTCCATCCAGACCTCTGTCTGAGCTTCCGTTTTTTGTCTTTGTCACTGGTTCACAGTCTTGATTCCCTTGATTCGATGTAATTTTTACTTGCAGAGCGCCTCTTTTTCTCTCTTTCTCCTGTTCTGTCCTGTCTTCCTACAAAGCTTGCACAGTTTAGTGTGTGAGATTTGCTCTAAGCCAATTCAGACATATCATTTTACATGTTCCCATCATTCCAGTGTTCTAACCACAATAGAGTTGTTGATTTAGCTGACTGGCGTAAAACTCATTTTTTTAAGCCAGCGCTGATTCCTTTGTTTAATAACAGCTATAGTTGGTCCGTTCCACCATGTAATCAAATGGTGATTTCAAGTGGGAAATCTTGAAAACTTTTCAAAGCTTATAAACTGTATCGCCTCTATCTTCGAAACATTTATCAAATGGTAATTACAGAGTCTGACTCATTTAGAAAACACTCACGTATTGTACATGCACAAACTCGTAGCGAATGAATGAACTGAACAGATGTTTTCATTACTGCAGCCTGTTAGGTATACATGCCACATAATTGCAGTAACTAATAATGATCATTACTTCTAAATTAACATACCTGCCAAAATACCCAGGGATACTTTATATAGATTTACTAATTTGTTGTGTCTCTACATCTGCAGCTATTTATTCCCTGATGGCCGGACTCAAAATCCTGACCTGACAGGACTGTGCGAGCCTTCGCCTCAAGACCATATCAAAGTCACCCAGGTCAGAGCAGCCTTCTTCTAAGACCCTTGAAAACCCTGTGCATTTGGGGTTTTTTTTCGTGTGCTTTTTATTTTATTGCAGTGTTAAAATGGTTTGTTACGTTTGGATGACTAAACAAAGGATTTAAACAATTTATACATCTGTTAATAAGATTGGTTCCAATAAATGGGATCCAGTATTGATCACACTCTTACAGCAGTGCATCCAGCGGGAGTCCTAAAGAATTTTGAGTATTATCAACATCTTTATTCATAACTTTGTTTTAAATACTGTAGAAGATCTTTTCAGACTCATACATGTTCTCAGAATTTTGTAAGTACAATGAACAGACTCATTTTGCAGCCACTGGACTGAAACTCAAACTACACCCCCACAACTATCTATCGCTCTAGATCCTTCCAGGCTTTTTTTTTCTCTTCTCCTTTTTTTTTTCTTTCAAAAGGATCTCAGGTGCTGTTGTTCCTGTGTGATGTTACCGTCTTGTCATGTTTTTTTTTCTCCCCGCAGGAACAATATGAGCTGTACTGTGAGATGGGCTCCACTTTCCAGCTTTGTAAGATCTGTGCCGAGAACGACAAGGATGTGAAGATTGAGCCCTGTGGTCATCTCATGTGCACTTCCTGTCTCACTGCCTGGCAGGTACAAGAGTGGGTGTATGCAGGGGGGTTTGTGTGGGTTGTTCATGTGTCATAACTCAAACTGTCTATTGAAGTGCTCTTTTATTCAGACATGTCAGACACAAAAAGAAAAAAACCCTTTTCTCATCTCTGCATGCTCTAACCATCTGCCTTTTGGCCTGTGTTGCAGGAGTCAGAAGGTCAGGGAACAGGATGTCCCTTTTGTCGCTGTGAGATTAAGGGTACGGAGCCGATAGTTGTGGATCCTTTTGACCCAAAGGACAACAGCGGAGGGTCTTCCAAGAACACATTTGGGGCTGAGGGTGCACCCTCACCCAGCTACGACGATGATGACGATGACAGACTTGAAGACCCTCATCTAATAATGAGCAAACTTGCCTGCACAAAGGTAAGATGGTGACAGGAGTTGGACTTTACTAAAAAAAAGTTACTTCACTCAAAGTTTCCAGTCGTGGCACTGGGTGAGCTATTCTGGTCTTTTTCTATTCATAAAACGTTGAGGCACTTAACACCCAGAGTGCACCTCACAGGTTCCTGCTGTCCTCTTATCCCCTGCTTTTCTGAGAGACCCTGTGCAGATGAAACGCTCCCTGCCCTGGCCTTTTCACTTCTTCTGAGCTTCAAGCTCACATCTCCTATCTAAAGTCTTTCATCTCCGTCTTTCATGGCACCAAGGTAGCAGCTTTTTGTGCCTCTTTGTATTTGATATGTGGGGCATTCTCCTGTCTTACATCTTTTATGTACCTCTGAGAAACTCTGTGTGCATTAATCTGTTTATAGAGCAGGCGAATACCTGAGATCATACACACTTTGATGTGGTCCCGGGAATTTCTTTGGCTTTGATTGCTGGCCTGACCTCTTTGACCATTTACTCTATATTTACTCATTTCTTGTGCGTACTTGTTTGTTTCATCTGTGTTGAAACAAGAGGAACTGCAGAAAAAATAAAGCTCTAATAGGACAGTGCTGTAAAGTAACCTTATAAGGTTATCAGAGTTTTCAGTTGGCCTGAAGTTATTGCAGAGATATGAGAGGAGATTTGTGATATTTGCAAAATGAGAAGTGGCATTTGGACTCCGTCTGATTGTGTTTGAATAATGCTGATCAGATGAAATCTGTGTTTGGCTCTTTTGTGCGTCATCCAGGTGGAGCGTCCCCCATCACCTATGTCTGGGACTCCTCAGTCCTCTCTTCCCCCAGTGCCTCCCAGACTAGACCTATTACCGCAGAGACCTCCCAACCCCCCTGGTGCCTCCAGCCCTGGAGTCAGCAGTAAGGTAACTAAATGTACACAAGAAGGGATTTTAAAAACGTACAAGTCTAATATTGATGTCCAGTCTATGTACAGTAGAGTGTGTCATGCCTTACTGGGTGCCTAATCCTAATCTACTCAACTTTTGTGGTGGGTTCAGAGTCCGAGCAGGTAAGAAGGGGGAGGGGGAAAAGCCTAAAATTGAAAAATAGACTAGCTATGCGCTCAGAAGAACCCACGCATAATTCTCCTTTATATAGGTAAGGAATTTAAAAATGGCGGTCACAATCATCAGGGCATTTCCTTCTCTGGGAAACTGCCATATTTCCACATTTTTATTATCTTTTCAATTTAGATAAAATGAAACTGCAGATGAAAAGCTTGATTATTCTGCACATGATAAACAGCATCTTTGCTTGGTGTTGTTCATCTAAGTTGCGTGTATTGTTGGAAATGATGACTAATGCATAAACAGTGGCTTTCTTGCTAAATGGATTACTTCCAGCACTGAAGATAACAGCACAGAGCTTTCTTTGGTTTCACATTAATATCGCATGTAGTCTAATTGAGATCCCTCCTCCTTGGTTTTTCCCTCCAGGCACCATCTCATCACAAAGACAAGCCTCTTCCCCTTCCCCCAGCACTCCGTGATCTCCCCCCTCCCCCTCCTCCAGACCGCCCCCACACAGCCGGGGCAGCCCCTGATGGACGGCTTCAGAGGCGGCCCTTGCCCAGCACACCCGGGGAGCCCCCTCGCGATAAACTCCCTCCTACACCCCCAAACCGGCCCCTGTCTGACTGGACCTCCAGGCCGGTTCCCAAGGCTCCCACCTCCTCTTCGGTATCCTCTTCGTCCACCCAATTCCCCTGTCTGGGCGGGGACCTCCGAGCAGGTGTCAGGGAACTCTCCAACAGGCACTCCCTCCCCTTGGCACTGCCCTCCGCCATGGACGCTCGCTCAGACTCCCAGAACAACAGCTCCCTCAGTCTGGACCACCAGCTGGTCAGAGCAACCACAAAACACAGCACATTCAACTGCCGTTTGATTCATTTGCTGGCACACACATCACTAAAGTTATTACTAACTTTCCAAACAAAACTGAAATTATTCAGAATACTGTTTATATGGATTCCAGTAAATTATGTTATCTGTCACAAAAACAGTGACAATGACATCAAGTTGGCTTTTTACTTTTTGGATGAGCAGGCCTAGTCTTTTTTGAGAGTTTAAAGTCTTTGGTTCCACTGTATTCTGATACATAGTCTTCTACTTTACTACTGGCATGTCTGTGCAGGTCTAAATCCTAAGAGCTGCCTTTAATGTGTTTAATTTATTTATGATTCTTAGTTTTAACTATAAAAATATTTGTCTTTAGTGTTTCTAAGATGCCATCTTTTGTTTCCTTTTCAGAATTTTTCCACGGGAGTTGGTCAAGATTACGACAACCCCAGAGTCAAACCTTCTGTCTCAGCCAACGCCATTTATGCACTGGCAAACAGGTACGTTTCAGTGCTGCTAAAAGCATCTCAGTGGAGTGGATCTTGTCTTTCCTGAATCACTGACATGCTCTTTGCTTACTTGCAATCCACAAAGCTGTACAAATTACCTTGTTTGAAGTTGATTTATACTCAGTACCTTTTTTAAGGATCATTTTACATAATATTAATGGCGCTTAATAAATAATATTCTTGGATCTGACTGCAGAGCGTCCCCAGCTACAGCCAGGCCAGCAGGAGGAGATGAAGGACATGACAGTGACGATGAGTACATGATCCCCTCTTCTCGGCCCGTTCTGCCCCCCATCCCGACTCCACTCATGGGGGAGACCCCACCAATCCCAAGACCCCCACAGCCCGTGTCAGCAGTCCCGACACAGACCCAGGCCTCTGCACTGAACACACGGTACTCAGGCCTTTCTATTACTCTCTCGCAGCACATAAGAAAAATAAACTGTCACTATTGATTTATTTTTGCTTTTGCCTTGCAGGCTGATTCTGGACGATGTACCTCATTCACTCCAAATGTATGAAGCCATGTTCAACGCCCAGCCCAGGTCACAACAAGCGAGAGATTCAGGTATTTGTGACCCACTAATCTCTGCTAGGCTTTGTGGGGCGGGGCCGTGTGCAGTGTTCAGAGCAATTCACTTTCACGTAATACTTTGAACATGCAAAAATCATATGTTTTAATCAGACAAGCCTCATCTGGATTTTCTGAAGTTTTATTTATTTGCTAAAACCACCACTGCACATCCTGGGGAAAAAACACCTCTGTATTGACATAAATGTGACTTATACTTCTGACTGCACTTGTGAGTTATCTGAAACTGTTTTAGACAATGTTAACCAGATGAAATTAAACCGGTTAAGGTCTCAAGCATGTATTAAAATTTTAATCTCTCTGTTTGATGTCATATTCTGATTTCCTTTCAGACTATTCAGATTTGCCTCCTCAACCAGTGAGTAACGGTCCCAGAGACCATGAGGCTGACGACGGGGAAGAGGAGGAGAACGGCTACGATTTCCCAAAACCCCGACTGCCTTTGCCTCCAGCCCGACGGACCCTTTCAGAAATGGGGGGGTCTTTGTCTTCATCTTCTTCATCCTCCTCATTATGTGCTGCAGCAGCTTTCAATCGTCTTTCTCTAGATGCGGATGCTGGAGCGACAGCGCGTAGGTTTAACAGTTTATTGATTTTAAAAAAGTGTTTTTTTGTTTTGTGGTGGTTTTTTTTTCTCTTTATTGATAAAGAACCGAAATCATAGTAAACATACCCATGCTTGCCACAGGTGATTTTAATGTTGTATTTCTACTTGCGTTTCATCTGTTATTCAGCTTATCTTGCTTAAATATGGACTTCTACTAAGTGCTTTGACATTTTAAATGTTTTAAAAGTTTTTTACATCTGGGACAGCAGCTGCAGGGAAACTGCCTGTCTCTTAAAATCACTTGTATATAGCAATTTTATAACTACAGCCTTCACGTCCTTTCTGGCTCAAAATCAGCAAAAACTGCTGATGAATCAATAACTCGACGTCCAAAAGTTCTTTGACCAGATCACAGCCTGAAAAGTCAGCTAAAGCATTTTGCTTCCTGGTCTGGGGCCAAACATAATGCAGATTTTCCAGAAGCTCTCTGGACATAATATTAGACTCGGCTCTGGACTTTGATTGTCATGAATTGATTTCTTTTACTGCACATCATCTGCATTTGTGGGTGCGTGCAGATTCAAAGAAAAGTAAAGACCAGTAATTACAGAGAGCTGTTTCGTTACATTAGTGACCTTAAAATAGATTTTTTTTTTAAATCCAAAGCAATGTCCTCAGAATGGTGGAAACAACCTGATGTGGGATGACCTGCTGTGTCATCAGAAACCCGTAGTGACCACACAGACGTCTTCCTCCACAGACTGCGAGGAGCTAACACAGCAGTACTTGCCTCAGCAGACACAACGCGGTCTGAAGAAAGAAGTTAAAGCAGAGAGTAGATAAAGGGAGCAGTGTTTTAGATCACTTAGGAGAGACTCCGTGTTAGAAGCACCACCTCTGAGTTTAAGTGTTCAGGTGTTTGCTGATGAGACTCTGTTCATTATGTTCTGTTGTGACTTGACATTTACTGCTGGAGGATGATTGCAGAGTGTCTGATTGTTCCCATCTTCAGTCTTCATGTCTAAGGATCAAAGAGTGCTCACACAGTCTGATTAACTCTGAGATTTGAGCTGAACCCTTATGACTGGTTTATTGAAAGCCACTACACTGGAAAGGACATCAAATGTGTGTTAAGATAAAAAGTTCATAGCTTACCTCAGTGATCAAGATCCTTTTTTCCACATTATTTTCACATTATTTCCAGTAGTTTTATTTTTATGTCTTTGACCCACACTGGCTGTTATGTTTAAAACTAGTTTATGTTGGTTGTCATTCCACCAAAGCCAGACCCTTTGATTTCACTCTTCCCATTTCCTCAGCCTTCCCAGATCCAATGGAGGCACCAGAGAGACCTCCAAAGCCCCTTCCCAGACGAATCAATTCCGAGCGTCGGGCCAGCCCAGTTCCCCCCACTCCACTCGGCGGCGGGGCAACAGGAGGAGAAGCCAACCCACAAATCAGTAGCGAGATCGAGCACCTAATGAGTCAGGGATACACTCAGCACGACATCCAGAAAGCACTGATGATTGCACAGAACAATATCGAGATGGCCAAGAACATCCTGCGCGAATTTGTCTCCATTCCCTCTACCGCGCACATTCTCACATAGCACATCCTCCCGCCTCTCTCCTGTTTGCTCTCTTTTGCCTAGCTTGGCCCAGCCTGGTTTGGTTTAGGCTGGCATAGACCAGCCCGAAACCCAAAGCCACTGCCTGCAGCACTAGCTCCAGTGCTGGCTGACACCCTACGCCCCTGTGGATTTTTAACTGGCTGTTACTTCAGCAAGCTCGCAGTGTCTCGGGACTCTCGCCCTGCACTCCACACGCTTTCACAGTGTCTGGCCTTCTTTGAACTGCTGCAGCCGGCCTCTTAGTTTTCAACAACATCTCCGCAGGACTCATCCCGTGCGGAGCAACGACAAATAATGGAACGCCGTATAATTGCAAGGCTTCTGTAGGAATCTCGGAGAGATGGATTCTTATCCTTTCATTTTGAAGCCTCTTGCTGAAAATGTAACCAACACCTCACAAAGAAAACTAAAATGTATGTCTATAATGAAAATTTAATATATGAGTAAATATATATTAAATGTGTGTAATATATACAGTACGTGCATATATAGTATGTGAAAATGATCGCAGCTTTGAGGGTCACGGTTGGTACAGGCGAAAAAAGGGCAGATGGGACCAGGTTAAAGAGTCGGTTGGGAGATTTCTGTAACGGGGTGAGGACGAGTCGGGGTGTCTTCCTCACCCGTGTTTGTTGGTCAGCAGCAGTTTGGGGGGGGGGAAAGAAAGGAGAAAAAAAAAAAAAACATGCCGCAGAGCTTCTTTATTTGGAATTCAGTCTGTTATGGCCTTCGATTAACTGTTGCTTTGGTACTTTTTTTGTTTTAGAAACTGTGCTTGTTTTGTCATGTTGTTGTTGTTGTTTTGTTTTGTTTTCAAAGTAGCATGAAGATAGTTTCAGGTCTGGACTGTTGCTGGGTGTGTGTGTGTGTGTGTGTGTGTGGGTGTGTGTGTGTGTGTGTGTGTGTGTGTGTGTGTGTGCGCGCGCGCCTGCCAGACCTACACCTCATGGCCTGCTCTTAAAACGAACCCCTGTTCCTGTACAACATGAATGTGGAATTACACTCGGTGTACTCAAGACTCGTGCTCTGTAAACGTACTACTGCTCGAACTTGTGTGTCAGGGCCTAGTGTAGCTGTAGAGCCTGGCAGTGAGATTAGAGGACGTACTAATGTTGACGCCCCTGCAGTAACAGACAGGCTAGTGTTGCGAGATCCGTGGCGGCTGAATGCTTTTTTTTTTTTTTTTTTTTAATCATTATTATTATTATTTTTGACTAACTTCTTAGGCTGACTGGTTCAGATTTCTATCTCCAGCTCAGTCCGGTGTTACAAAAACAACAACAAAAAAAGTCATTGATTTTACTTTGATAATATATTATTGTAATATGATCATAAATATTGTTATTATAATTAATTCAGAAGTGCTTCACTGCTGCTACTGTTGTTAGTGCTAAACAATTAAGACTTCAATGAACAATTGTGAATATTGTGTTTAACCGTCATTCTGCTTCTTTAAAGTGACAGTATCATGTGTTTCTCTAGTCTGTAATGTAGCATACTTGAAAGTACAAGCGACTTGTGAGCATGCAGCTCTATCAGGTCGCAAATCTTCAGTGTTTTTCTTTTTTCTTAACGTATATATAAATATAAAATATACTCTCTGTAAGTAGAATCTGTAGAGGAACAGTAATATCACAAGCAAAATGTTCTGGGATTGGAAACCAGACGTTTTGCAACAGATTCAAGCTTCTTTTTCACATCGGTTTCCTTCCTCTGTAGGAGTTCGTCCTGCTGAAAGGGAGCGACTGCCGAGGCTTTTTAATCGTAGGCTCATGGGTTTGTTGACACACCCCTCCAAGTCTACAGAAAATCAGTGTTTGGGCCGACTGTAAGAGCTAACTCAGGAATAATAATGTATGTCTGAACAAGTGGTGTTCACCCTGTCTGTCAAAAAAAAAAAAAAAAAAAAAAAAAAAACCCAGAAGAGACTCATATTGGCATAGACAGCAGCTCACCTGTCCAGCTGTCTGTTCATCCAGGTGACATGTAGCCAAAAGTTTCCGCGTAATGAAGTCACACAAGTAGCCTATTACTCATTTTGGTTTGTCATAACTTGCACATTAGTGTTTTTTTTAAAAGATTATTTCCAGTGTTTGCAGGTCTATAAAGACAGCAGCGTCATTTCCAGGTACTAATTACAAATGCATTATGAGGAATTCCTCCAAGCAGCTTCTAGGTACCCTGACTGAACCTCTCCCAGCATATGAAGAATGTTTTTTGGGGGGATTTCACCCACCCTGGGAGTGCGTGCATCGTGTAAATCAGCCCTGTCTTATTCTGGGTGTCTCTGCATGTTGACTGGAAGCTTTGTGCTGTCTCGCCCTCTTTTATTTCATTTTGGGGTCTTTTTTTACTCTTCCTAGTTGCCTTGAGAAACTTCTTGAATGATGTTTAATGGACAGGAAGCTCCCCTAATATCATCAATACTGTACCAGTGTGTGTTTATATATTAAGGATGGCATGTCATTGTCATGTATTATTTACCGTTGGTTTTGTTTTTGCACATTATACCAGTTTGTGCTTTGATACTGTCACTCTAAAGAAAAGCAAATTGTATAGAGTTAGATATGAAAAGAGGAAGAAAATGGCTGTTATATTTCATTTTGCATTCCTGTACATGTATTTTGTTCCAAAGGATTTGTTTACTTATGTGAATAATTCAGTGAGCAGTGCCATATGTTTTTGTTTTTTAGATGTTTTTTGGAAGAGCGTTTGTTGGTATAGATGTGTACCTGTTGGTCTCCGAAGGCAAAATGATGCGGTATTGCTTGTGTTAATCTGTCCTCTATGCTTCTTCAGCCTCATCAGGCCTCAGACTCTGAGCTTGACGCTAACCAGGGGTATTTCAGTTATCTGCCAGAAGAGGGAGCTGTTGTTCCACACGGCTGCATTGCTTCTCAACAGTAAAAAGCTTTTTTTTTTTTT